GGTAGGATAGCAAAGCCCTCTTTTCCACTTCTTCCATGTACAAATTGGGTGAAACTGGGGAGCCCATGGCACACCCATGTTTCTGCCTGTAGTACTGACCCTTGTGTGTGAAGTAGGTGGAATGAAGACACAGTTCCAATCTCTCACCTTCTCAATAAGATCCAAGGTGTTCTCCAGAACACCTTGGATCTTACAATGCTGTGATTGCAGCAATTCTTCACCTCTGTGTGAATGGTACTCATGGCCACTGATCAATGGCCATGAAAAATTTAAATATTAATGATGATGAAACTGAGCTCACAGTTTATCGTTAGTCAGTGGCGCTGGTTTCAGTCATTGTGCAAACGTACTGTGTATAAGGTTGGGGTAACCTGCAGTCAGCTGAGACTGAAGAAGTCACAAGGATGATGACGAAACGTTTCTCCCACTGAAAACATGAACAGAGTCCTTTCCATACCTGATGCAGCATGGATCAAGACATACACCAATATCTGCACAAACTTCTTTGTTTCTTTTCAGTGCATTCATCACAGAGATTCGAAGTCGGCCAAGCTCTTTCAGTCTTTAAATGGGAAATTCTCAGGTAACACTGACACTGGTGAAGTGAACACTTAGAACAACAGACGTGTCAACAAGGAATTATTTGCTTACATGCTTTGCTTGAATGCCATGTTTTAACAGTGATTTAGTCTTTGATAGACATGAGAAATGTAAAACGTGTGTGGCTGGGTGAAGACGAGTAATGCTTCTGCTTAGATAACAGAGAGGGAAAATGAAAGAGTCTATCTTTCATCAAATAATAAATGTTTTCTTATCTTTGGAAATATAATTTAAAAAGTATATTACAGATTAAAAAGAGAAGCAGAGACAACAAATGTTATTTTAATGATGAAGTAAGATTATCAGTTTGTAAAAAAAACAAATCAGAATAATGAGATGTGCACCTCTTGATAAAGATCTGAGTTGGTTTAGTCTCAAGTTGTCAGCGGTTTTATGTAAAGTGATCGGTGTAAGCCCTGTTCTCATTCAAAGATCTTGAACTCAGTAGAAATTTAGGTCAGGTCACTTTGAGCTTTTAAGGTGGCGTGTGAAGTTTTAATGCAAAAATGTTGATGCTTGTCTCACAGTCCTCCTCGTTCTTTCTTTCTACAGCAAATTTTATCTCTACCATCATTTACAACAGGTCTGCTATCTTGCC